CTGTGGGAGAAGGAGGGCAGTGAGGCTCCCATTCCCATTCCCATTCCTGTTCCCATTCCCATTCCCATTCCCACTTTCCAGCCCCCAGGAATTCCTGTGGGAGAAGGAGGGCAGCCCCGTCCCCATTCCCATTCCCGTCCCCATTCCCATTCCCACTCCCATTCCCATTCCCATTCCCATCCCAGCCCCCAGGAGTTCCTGTGGGAGAAGGAGGGCAGCCCCGTCCCCATTCCCGTTCCCGTTCCCATTCCCATTTTCCAGCCCCTAGGAATTCCTGTGGGAGAAGGAGGGCAGCGAGGCTCCCATTCCCATTCCCATATTCCAGCCCCCAGGAATTCCTGTGGGAGAAGGAGGGCAGTGAGGCCCCCATTCCCGTTCCCGTTCCCATTCCCATTCCCATTTTCCAGCCCCCAGGAGTTCCTGTGGGAGAAGGAGGGCAGTGAGGCTCCCATTCCCATTCCCATTCCCGTTCCCGTTCCCATTCCCATATTCCAGCCCCCAGGAGTTCCTGTGGGAGAAGGAGGGCAGCCCCGTCCCCATTCCCATTCCCGTTCCCATTCCCATTCCCATTCCCATTCCCATTCCCATTTTCCAGCCCCCAGGAGTTCCTGTGGGAGAAGGAGGGCAGCGAGGCTCCCACCCCCATTCCCATTCCCATTCCCATTTTCCAGCCCCCAGGAATTCCTGTGGGAGAAGGAGGGCAGCCCTGCCCCCATTCCCATTCCCATTCCCATTCCCATTCCCGTTCCCGTTCCAGCCCCCAGGAATTCCTGTGGGAGAAGGAGGGCAGCCCTGCCCCCATTCCCATTCTCACCCCCATTCCCATTCCCATTTTCCAGCCCCCAGGAATTCCTCTGGGAGAAGGAGGGCAGTGAGGCTCCCATTCCCATTCCCATTTTCCAGCCCCTAGGAATTCCTCTGGGAGAAGGAGGGCAGTGAGGCTCCCATTCCCATTCCCATTCCTGTTCCCATTCCCATTCCCATTTTCCAGCCCCCAGGAATTCCTGTGGGAGAAGAAGGGCAGCCCTTCCCATCCCCATTCCCGTCCCCATTCCCGTTCCCATTCCCATTCCCACTTTCCAGCCCCCAGGAATTCCTGTGGGAGAAGGAGGGCAGCCCTGCCCCCATTCCCATTCCCGTCCCCATTCCCATTCCCACTCCCATTCCCATTCCCATTCCCATTTTCCAGCCCCCAGGAGTTCCTGTGGGAGAAGGAGGGCAGTGAGGCCCCCATTCCCGTTCCCATTCCCGTTTCCATTCCCATTCCCATTCCCATTTTCCAGCCCCCAGGAATTCCTGTGGGAGAAGGAGGACAGCCCCGTCCCCATTCCCATTCCTGTTCCCATTCCCATTCCCATCCCAGCCCCCAGGAGTTCCTGTGGGAGAAGGAGGGCAGCCCCGTTCCCATTCCCGTTCCCATTCCCGTTCCCATTCCTGTTCCCATTCCCATTCCCGTTCCCATTCCCGTTCCCATTCCCATTCCCGTTCCCATTCCCATTCCTGTTCCCATTCCCATTCCCATTTTCCAGCCCCTAGGAATTCCTGTGGGAGAAGGAGGGCAGCGAGGCTCCCATCCCCATTCCCATTCCCATTCCCATTCCCATTTTCCAGCCCCCAGGAGTTCCTGTGGGAGAAGGAGGGCAGCGAGGCTCCCATCCCCATTCCCATTCCCGCTCCCATCCCCATTCCCATTCCCACTCCCATTCCCATTCCCACTTTCCAGCCCTCAGGAATTCCTGTGGGAGAAGGAGGGCAGTGAGGCCCCCATTCCCATTCCCATTCCCGTTCCCATTCCCATTCCCATTTTCCAGCCCCCAGGAGTTCCTGTGGGAGAAGGAGGGCAGCGAGGCCCCCCTGCAGCTGAGCTCGGACAGTGTCCTCATCTTCCCCTTCCTCAACAAGAGCGACAGCGGCACCTACGTCTGCACGGCCACCAGCGCCATGGGCAGCGTCGTGGCCAAGTACAACCTGGACGTCAGCGGTGAGGGCACCCCCGGCACGCCTGGA